CCGGCGCAATCCGATTTTACATTGCTTGAGCAGTTACAGTTAAAAGCTGTGAAAGATTTCCATATCGTTGATTCACTTGGGCAAAATTCACTGGTCAAGGAGCACGATCTGTTTTCGTGGTGGAGTCCAGCATCGTGGTTTCGTTTAGCACTGGAATGCATGCATCTCAATATTGAGATACCCTGGTGGCTAACAATTATGTGTGGTAAGCTATGTTTTGATGCTTCGTTAAAATACCCTCCCTTCGTAACGGGTTTTTCTCTCTTTCTCTGTAGGATGTATTTTTTTCTTTTTTTTTTTTGTTGCTGTTTTAATCAAAATTGCAAAATATTGAGGTAATCAAGCTTGATAACAATCCTCGTTTTTTGTTTTTCTTTATTTTTTTGCTTTAATGTGAAAATATATATATGTATGCATAGTTTATACACAATTTTGTACATATATATTCATGATTTTTTGTAATTTCTTCAAAAATTATGTTTGTTTTTCAGCTACGATCAGTTTACGTATGTTATTGATATTTGTACCAATTGCATCACATCGACTTATGGGAAGAATACAGCAATACAAGCAAGAAATTGATGAATATAAGGGACGAGTAGAAGAGGCCCAGAAAAGCGGAAACTTTTTGCGCGGTTCATTTTTAATCTTTTTTTTTAGATTTATAAATTTAAGGTCTGGAATTTCATAGCTTTCTCTCTCTTTCTCTGTGTCTGACAGTTGGAGGCTTGTAGAAGCTGCTTGAGCGTTGGCACAATGCCAGCAAACCTCAAAAGATGTCATCTGGTCAGATCTGCTACTTCGGTGGTTTTGCCAGAGAGTGGGAACTGTTGATGTTTTCATCAGCCGATTGTTTCAGACTTTTAGATGCATGGAGATTGTGTGAGAGTTTTGCGTTGAAATTCTAGAAAAAAAATTTTTTTTCTTCCATTATTGCTCCGGTAGGTTTTTTTTTATTATTGCTCAAGAAATATATACGACTTAATGGACCGAAACATTTCTTGCCATATTATAGTAATTTTAATAAAATAATTTTACTGCTTTTACTAATTGCTTAATATTATTTTCTCTTCGATCCTTCAAAATACGTTTCTTCTATATCTCTTTTTTTTTTTCTAGCTATGGAAGCACGCAAAGAGATGAGTGATTTCTTAAAATCCAAAGACATCAAATTATATCGTCAGTTTCTGATCATGAGTCTTAATGGTGCTATTTTTATGACGCAATTTATTGCAGTGAAAAAAATGTCCGATATCAGGTAAGGGACGTTTTTTCTGAGTATAAAAATAAAAATTCATTTTTGTCAAAAATCATAATTTTTTAATGATTATTAGGTTTTTGATTTGTTCAAAAGTTCGACTTTTTGAAATTTTTGATTTATGATTTTTGTTGTAAATTATTTATTTTTATTTTAAAACTCATATATTTTTTGAAGTTTTTTATTTTTTAATGATTGTGAATTTTTGTTTTGTCAGAAAATTTGATTTTTTAAGGCTTTGAATTTTCATTATGAATTATTTCTTTTCGTTTCTAAACACCCAGACGTTCGTGAGTTTTTACTTTTTTTTTTTTACAGTTTTCCTGGTTGGAATACCGGTGGACTGTATTGGTTCAAAGATCTGACTGCGCCTGATCCATATTTTGTACTTCCGCTGATCTCAGCTGTTACTGTTGCTGCTGTTTTCAAAGTAAGCGTTCTTTTGTCATCCAATGAAACTTTATCATAAAGTTAGTATCTTTGCTAGGACTGCATACGGCGATGTGAACAAAACCTGAGAATTAAGGGAAAGTGAGGTTTTTTTAATTTGTAATTTAAATTTAGATATTTTATGTTTATGAAAAAGATTGTAAAAATTAAAAAATAAAAGTAAAAAATACGTATGAAAACTATAAAACGCAGCTCTGCGGTGCTCGTTCGTTGTAAAAATGCAGCTTCGCCAGACTATTTTGCCACTAGAAGCAATATATTGTTAAATATTTCATAAAATACCTGAAATCAAATATTCACTTCTTCCGTATTCATCCCCTGGGAGACGTGGAAAAACTCGAAAAAAGCCCATATGATAACTGTTTAGCAATCCTGGCGATGGCCCCGTTGTCTGTGCAGTGCGTAAAAGCAAGCTGATGGCAGGTTTGACTCTCAGGCATCATGAACTGTGGTTTTTTTGAATTACGGTACGAGGAAGATGAACTTTTTTTTACGAGAAATTGAATCATCTCCATGAATTTTTAAAGCCGAATTTCTTTTATTCTTTGTTTTGATATTTCGCAAATGCATAGATATGGAAGAGGGCTTGTTATCTGTGGGATTTTTATGCGTTTTTTGCAGCAGTGCAATGTGAAAAACGCATATTGACGAGAGGTTGTCTTTGTCTGTGTGTGTGTCTGCGTGTTCGTGTGTGCGTCTGTCACGGTCTTTCATCTCAAGACCTACAAAAACTACGGGGCTGAAATTTTGGGGACTTAATCTACATGCACGTACGGGCCCCAATCCCCAAAATTAGCGCCACACCCCGCGAAGTACCCGTGTATGGGTGCCCAAGCGGCTATTAGTGGGTTCAAATCCAGCCCCCGGATAGGCGTGGTACCAGCGTACGGACCCCTAGCTAGAAGGCTGAAATTTTAGGGTAAAAATTTTTCCCGCGCAAATTCATAACTCGGGGTTCTGAGATGCTAGAAAGCTGAAATTTTAGGGTAGTGTCCCCCGTCCAAGCAGGTGCTAGTGAGCTGATATCCAGCCCCCGGGTAAGCGTGGTACCTGCGCACGGGCCCCCAAAATTTTTCCCGCGCAAATTCGTAACTCGGGGTTCTGAAATGCTAGAAAGCTGAAATTTTAGGGTGA